TTTTGAGACACAGTTTCGCTCTTGTTGCCCAGGCTGGAGTGCAGTGCAGTGGCATGATCTCAGCTCTCTGTAACCTCCACCTCCCAGGTTCAGGTGATTCTCCTGCCTCAGCCTCCAGAGTAGCTGGGATTACGGGAATGTGCCACCACACCCAGCTAATTTTGTATCTTTAGTAGAGACGGGGTTTCTCCACATTGGTCAGTCCGGTCTTGAGCTCCCGATCTCAGGTGATCTGCCCACCTCAGCAGTGCTCCCACAGGCATGAACCACCATGCCCAGCCTACTATTTCTCTTTTAAAAAATAGAAAATGCGCTGGGCACAGTGGCTCACGCCTATAATCCCAGCACTTTGGGAGGCCGAGGCCGGTGGATCACCTGAGGTCAGGAGTTCAGGACCAGCCCGGCCAACATGGTGAAACCCTATCTCTACTAAAAATACAAAAATTAGCCGGTGTGATGGTGTGCCTGTAGTCCCAGCTACTCAAGATGCTGAGGCAGGAAGATCGCTTGAACCTGGGAGGCCGAGATCGTGCCACTGCACTCTAGCCTAGGCAACAAGAGCGACACTCCATCTCAAAAAAATAAAAAAGAAAAAGAAAAAGAAAATACTTAGCAAGTATCCGGCACATAAATAAAAACCCTGTCGGAGGCCTTGGGAGGTCTCCCGGGGCCACACCTTACCCTGTGCACAGCACGCCCCACCCGCCCACCAGCCAGCCACTTCTGGAGGCTCAGACCGAGGCAGGTGCCAGCAAGGTCCTTCCCACTCCTGAAGCAGGTCGTGCAGGCTTGGGAAGCCCTAGAAGTACCCTCTCTTCCTGCAACCTCAGCTTGCCTGTGCTGGGGATGAGGCTGCAGGGGACAGAACAGGGGGCTCAGATCCCCCGACTCTCCTCGAGGCCCAGGGCTCCCTCAGGACAGAACCCCTTGGGCCCCAGCACTCACCAAAGGCGGCCCCCGCAAGGGCGAAGCAAGAGAGGAGCCAGAGGAAAGCCATGGCGCTGCCTCAGGAGGTGTGGGGTCTGCCAGCTGAGGGGCCCCTTTTACCTCCCAGGGAACCCCAGCCCCGCCCAGCCAGGGAGGCCTGAGCCCACCCTCCCTGTCACCCAGGGACCTTGGGCGATAGTGGAGACAGAGCCTGCCCTGGCTCTCTGCCAGGACACCCCAGCCCCTGGGAAACAGGCAGCTGCCCTGACATCACCCATCAGCCTTGGGGACGCGGCCCAGAGAGCCAGCTGTGAGCTCTGGCAGCCCTGCCAGGAGCCAGCACCAGGCTCTTCTGTTCCCGGTGGGGAAGTGGAGGCAGTCCCACCTCAGGGTACAAGGAGGCCCAGCAGGTCATCGCTAGGAGGCCGCAGCGGTTCTCATGGAAGCAGCCCGTAGGAACTCAGTGTGGCCACAGGCTCTCAGTGAAGGATGTGTCTGCAATAGCACTGTCCTAGAAGCAAAGGGCATTTGGCATCCTGGATTCTTCAGAGTGTCGCTGCACGTCACCAGTGAAGCCAAGGCATTTCTGAGTGTGACAAGGGTCTGGGTGACAAGGAACCACCCCGCTGGTGGCCACAATGGGTGGGTAAAGCTGACAGGTGTCCCACGTCTGCCACAGCACCCGACGGAATTCACTTTTTCTGCAGTGACTCATGATATAACAAACTCATCATTTCATAAAGCTTCAGTTTCTTATAAAGTGGAACTTTGATTCCACACCATAAAATGACAAAGAAAACTTTAAGATGGAGTGTCACTCTGTCGCCCAGGCTGCAGTACAGTGGCGCGATATCAGCTCACTGCAACCTCTGATTTCAGGGTTTAAGCGATCCTCCTGCCTCAGCCTCCCAGGTAGCTGGGATTACAGGTGCACCACCAGGCCTGGCTGATTTTTGTATTTTTAGTAGAGACAGGGTTTCACCACATTGGCCAGGCTGGTCTCGAACTCCTGGCCTCAGGTGATCTACGGGCCTTGGCCTCCCAAAGTGCTAAAATTACAGGTGTGAGCCACCGTGCCTGTCTCAAAAAACAAACGTTTTTGAGGAAACAGAAAAATTTTTTTCATTGTCACAAAATGAGGAAAGAGGTGTGGGTGACAGGCCAGTGGCTAGGGGCAGGAAGTGGAGGCCCGGGGTCCTCGGCACCCAGTGGGCTGGTTTTCAGGGGACAGGGCCCACAGCATTCCTGCCCTCATGGGCCTGAGACGCTCGTGACAGACACACATGACACAGGTGAGCATGTATCGCAGTGACCACAGTCACCGGGGCAAGGCTGGACAGGGACGGTCGGCACTGCAGTTTCCGACGGTGGGGGCTGAAAGGAAGACGCAGTGGGTGGATGGCATTTCCATTGAAGGCCTTGGGCTCCGAGGTCAGTGGGCCATGCCACCTTGGGGGTCTGTGGTCAGCGGGCCATGCCACCTTGGCGCTCTGTGGTCAGCGGGCCACACCACCTTGGCATTTAGAATATCCCCTCCCTACTCCCTCCCCTGCTGGAGAGCACACAACTATAAAGCAAAACTGAATTTGTAAACTAAAGACAAAACTTTTGAGACAGCGTCTCACTCTTGTGGCCTAGGCTGGAGTGCAGCGGCACAATCTCGGCTCACTGCAACCTCTGCCTCCCAGGTTCAAGCAATTCTCCTGCCTCAGCCCCCCAAGTAGCTGGGATTACAGGCATGTGCCACCACACCCAGCTAATTTTGTATTTTTAGTAGAGACGGGGTTTCACCATGTTTATCAGGCTGGTCTCGAACTCCAGACCTTGTGATCCACCCGCCTCAGCCTCCTAAAGTTCTGGGATTTCAGGTGTGAGCCACTGTACTCAGTGACAAAACGTCAACAGCAAGCAAGTTCACATTAATCATGTTGCTTTTTTTTTTTTTTTTTTTTTTTTTTTTTTTTTTTTTTTTTTTTTTTTTTTTTTTTTTTTTTTTTTTTTTTTTTTTTTTTTTTTTTTTTGAGACAGAGTCTCGTTCTGTCATCCACGCTGGAGTGCAGTGGCTTGATCCCAGCTCACTGCAACCTCCACCTCCTGGGTTCAAGTGATTCTCCTGCCTCAGCCTCCCAAGCAGCTGAGGTTGTAGGCGAGCACCACTATACCCAGCTAATTTTTGTATTTTTAGTAGAGACAGGGCTTGACCACGTTGGCCAGGGTGATCTCGAACCCCTGACCTCAACTGATCCATCTGCCTCGGCCTCCCAAAGTGCTGGAATTACAGGTGTGAGCCACCATGCCCAGCCGAAAAGCATATTTTTGTTGTTTTTTGAGACAGAGTTGCTCCAGCTCTGTCACCCAGGCTGGAGTGCGGTGATTCGATCACTGCTCCCTGCAGCCTCAAACTCCTGGGCCCAAGTGATCCTCTCACCTCAGCCTCCCCAGCCTCCCAGTAGCTGGGACCACAGGTACATGCCACCACATCCGGCTCATTTTCTTGTTTATTGTAGAGATGGGGCCTCACTATGTTGCTCAGGCTGCTCGAGAACCCCTGGCCTCAAGCAATCCTCCACCGATCCCCCCATCTCAGCCTCCCGAGCGGCTGGGATGACAGCTATGAGCCACCACACTCGGCTAACTTTTAAATTTTTTGTAGAGACGGGGTCTCACTAAACATAGTGACCAGCAACACCCAGGCTGGTCACCAAAAAACATTGTAAGTGATGCGAAGGACCCACGATGAGGGTGCAGGGATGTTCCACTCCCTGCTCAGGTCCTGTCCTCCTCCCTTCTCCACGTTCTGTCTTCCAGGAGACCGACCCTCAGGGGTGAGGCTGCACAACAGGTCTCAGGAGCAACCCTGGAGAGGGTCTGAGGAGGGAAGAGGCCAGCATTTGCTTCTCTGGCTGCTTCCTCTGCAGAGACCACAGCCCCTTCCAGGCGGCCCTCCCCACACAGCTGCGCTGGCCACACCCAGAGCTACCTACTCCCTGTCACGCCGGCTCTAGGTGTGTCCCGGTGAGGCTAGCCCTGTGCGAGGCACCATCGCTTGTTGGTTTCCCTAAACCCTGCTGGCGCTTCTGTAAAAATGCCCTCTGTGAACACTTCATTCTAATGACCCGCTTCGAGTGCGTCATATGTTTCAGCCGGGCCCATGACTGACAACAGAAACTGAGGCCCCAGGGCCACTGCACATGGTATTCTGGGGTCTCCTATGTGAGGAGTCCATGGATCACCTGTTTCCAGGGAAGATGAGACCCGGGTGGGCCACACCATGCAGCGGGGTCACAGTCACTCAAGCTGGCGCTGGACGTGACACTGGCAGAAGTGCTGCACCGAGTCCTACAGAGTCAGGGGTGGTTGTCATTACTGGGGGGCCACGCCAGGGCCAATAAGCCATGAAAAGATAGCCCAGGGCACCACTGATAGAGGAGACAGGAAGCAAAACCAGGCTGGGTGTGGTGGCTCATGCCTGTAATCCCAGCACTTTAGGAGGCTGAGGTGGATGGATCACAAGGTCAGGAATTGTAGGCCAGCCTGGCCAATATGGCAAAACCCGTCTCTACTAAAAATACAAAAATTAGCCGGGCATGGTGGTACGTGCCTGTAGTCCCAGCTACTCGGGAGGCTGAGGCAGGAGAATCGCTTGACCTCGGGAGGCAGAGGCTGCCGTGAGCTGAGATCACGCCACTGCACTCCAGGCTGGTGACAGAGCGAGACTCCGCATGTCAAAAAAGAAAGAAAGCAAAACCACATACACACACACACACACACACACACACACACACACACACACACACAGATATGCTTCACACCTACCAGGAAAGCTACAATTTTTTTTTTTTTTGAGACACAATCCCACTCTGTCGTCCAGGGTAGAATGCAGTGGTGTCATCTCAGCTCACTGCAACCTCTGCCTCCTGCATTCAAGCGACTCTCCTGCCTCAGCCCCCAGAGTTGCTGGGATTACAGGCGTGTGCCACCTGGCCTGGCTAATTTTT